GTTTTTAACTATTTTCACAGATAAGATTTCAGTCATGATTCTGGGCAATATGAAGTCTTTGAAGAAAGCTCTGATAACCAACATCCTGGGGAAAGATTTATCTGTTTTAACCAAAAGAAAGATTCTGAAAAACACTGAGATATATGACGATGATACATTTGAGTTCACATGTACACCAGATCTGAACACAACATGTGACGATATTAGAGAGCTATTTTCTACGAATTCAAACTTTGACCTGTGTTTGTTGGTGGTAGAGGATGGATTTTCAAGAGGAAATGTGCAAAAGCAGATAAAAGACCTCAACAAGAAGACTGGAAAACCAAGAGAAGAGTTCACAGTTGTGCTTCCGCTGAGACACAAATTTACAGAATATCCTTTCGAATTCTACACCCTCGAACAGGTTTTCAGCAAACTGAGCAAACTACTTAAAGATAAACAACTGAACCCAACCAACAAAAAGAAAAGGAAAAGGTAGAGACAAATGAATGGGTGTCAAATATTTATTTATAATTTTTTGACAGTACTTTTTCAATTACAATTGTTCAACATGGTGTTCAACCGACCAGGAAGCTCTCTTTGCTTCCTGGTCGGTTAAACCAGTTAATGTGGTTTAACTTCTACATTTTAGGCCTGCTGACACTGCTGAACCACAAGATGGAAGTAAGAAGAAAGGTAAACCACACTCGCTTGCTCTTTGTGTGTGTGTGTGTGTTCCAAAGGTTTTTAAAGAAACAATTAATGTTACTTATGTAATGTTATTTATCAAGGAAGCTTCTATTTGACCTTTTTGTTCAGGCAGCAAATACTTCAGACTGCAAATTACATAACGAAACAGCTTGGAATCACCTAACCTAACATGCATGTCTTTAAGAGGAAGCTGTAGTATGGGCTCAAATTGTGGTCATTAATATTCTGTACTTGTAAATCAAATGTGTATTTTGTAACCTTTTAAACCAAAATGTGTGAAAGTTTTATGTTTGTGCATCTACAGATGAGAATTTGCATGTGTGTAAAACATATTTGTGTTTGTAAAAAATATTTACACGAGTTACACATTTTTTGTTAAGGTCTGGTTACAGATACAAAGCAAGAAACTATGTGTAGAACCTGTTCCCTGGCTGCATGTGGCTTTCAACTTACACATACAATTTTTGACCTAATTGTTCTTCCTTTTAGCTGATTGATCAATATCATGTCAATCACAAATTTTAACAATTCAGAATCAGAATCAGAATCAGAAAGGGGTTTATTGCCAAATGTTGAGCAGGTTTACAACATTAGGAAATTGCTGCGGTGCTTCAGTGCAAACATAGTGTCATAAATAGCACTTAAATAGACATGAAAAAATAAAAGTAGGGATAAGAATTAAAAGTGCTACGTGGAAAGATATGTGCATGAGCTATACATGAGATATATACATGAGAATAAGAATTAAGAGTGCTACGTTGAAAGATATATACATGAGTGCAGGTGGTGATCAGTGCCAATCATGGAATGATGCAGTGAACACAGCGTAGGGTCATGTGTTAGTGGTGGGAACAGTCATATGGTTATTGTTCATGTGTCCAACAGCAGAGGGGAAGAAACTGTTCTTATGGCGAGAGGTTCTGGTGCGAATGGACCGGAGCCTCCTGCCTGAGGGGAGCAGGTCAAACAGACTGTGTCCAGGGTGAGAGGGGTCAGCTGAGATCCGAGCTGCACGCCGCAATGTCCTGGAGGTGTACAGGTCCTGCAGAGATGGGAGTCTGCAGCCAATCACCTTCTCAGCAGAGCGCACAACACGCTGCAGTCTCTGTTTGTCCCTGATAGTGGCTCCAGCGTACCACACGGTGATGGAGGAGGTGAGGATGGACTCGATGATTGCAGTGTAGAACTGCATCATCGTCCGTGTTGGCAGGTTGAATTTCTTCAGCTGCCTCAGGAAGTACATCCTCTGCTGGGCTTTCTTAATGACGGAGGTGATGGTGGGCTCCCACTTCAGGTCCTGGGTGATGGTGGTACCCAGGAAGCGGAATGAGTCCACAGAGGTGATGGGGGTGTCAGTCAGGATGATGGGGGGGAGTGGGGCTATGTGCTTCCTGAAGTCCACAATAATCTCCACTGTCTTCTGGGCATTCAGCACCAGGTTGTTGTGGCTGCACCAGGACACCAGACGTTCAACCTCCCTCCTGTAGGCAGACTCATCCCCGTCCGAGATGAGTCCAATAACGGTGGTGTCATCTGCAAACTTGATTAGCTTGACAGACTGGTGGGTGGAGGTGCAGCAGTTGGTGTACAGGGAGAAGAGCAGAGGAGAAAGAACACAGCCTGAGGGGAGCCGGTGCTGATGGTCCGGGAGTCCGAGACATTCTTTCCCAGCCTCACATGCTGCTTCCTGTCCGTCAGGAAGTCAGTGATCCACCGGCAGATGGGGTCAGGCACATTCATCTGGGAAAGCTTGTCTCGGAGATGGTCTGGAAGGATGGTGTTGAAGGCAGAGCTGAAGTCCACAAACAGGATCCTGGCGTAGGTTCCTGGGGAGTCCAGATGCTGCAGGATGAAGTGTAGGGCCATGTTGATGGCGTCGTCTACAGACCTGTTGGCTCTATATGCAAACTGCAGGGGGTCCAGGAGGGGGGCCGTGAGGGTCCTGAGATGGGAGAGAACTAGGCGCTCAAAAGACTTCATGACCACAGATGTCAGAGCCACGGGTCTGTAGTCATTTAGTCCAGTGATCCTAGGTTTCTTGGGGACAGGGATTATGGTGGAGGACTTGAAGCAGGCAGGCACATGACATGCCTGCAGTGAGGAGTTGAAAATGCCAGAAAACACTGGGGCCAGCTCGTTTGCACAGTGTCTGAGGGTGGCAGGAGACACACCGTCTGGGCCGGGAGCTTTCCGAGCATTCAGACTCCTAAACTGCTTCCTCACATCTGCTTCATGAATATGAAGAGTTGTGGTGGAGGAGGTGATGTGAAATCCTCTTTTGTGTGGGGTGAGGAGGGGGGTGTTGTAGGTGAAGTGTTTGAAGGTGGTGATGGCTCTATGTAGGGGGGAGAGGTGGGGGAATGAGTGTCCAAAGTGTCTCTATTGTTGGGGCCGTTGGAGGTGTGAAGGCTGCCTGATGGCTCGTCAAAACGGCAGTAGAAGTTGTTGAGGGTGTTGGCTAAGAGCAAGTCATCAGTGGAGTGGCGGGTTTTAGGCTTGTAGTTGGTGATATTCCTAAAACCTTTCCACACAGAGGCCGAGTCATTCTCTGAGATCTGCTGCTGCATCTTCTCAGAGTGCTGATGTTTAGCAATGTCCACTTCTTTAGTGAACCTGTACTTGGCCTCTCTGTAGCAGTCCCTGTCTCCGCTTCTGAACGCCTTACTCTTTTCCAGCCACAGCTTTTTGAGTTTAGGAGTAAACCAGGGTTTGTCATTGTTATAACTCACCCTGGTGCGTGATGGCACAATGCTGTCCTCACAGAAGTGGATATAGGAGGTGACAGTGTCCGTAAACTCATCCAAGCTGTTAGAAGCAGCCTTCATTGTGTCCCAGTCTGTAGACTCCAAACACGTGCGAAGCTCCTCCACAGCCTCGTTGCTCCACAGTTTTTTAGTCCTCACGACAGGTTTGGAGAGCTTCAGCCTCGGTCTGTACGCGGGGATTAGGTGGATCATGACGTGGTCAGAAAGTCCGAGTGAAGCGCGGGGCACCGCGTGATAGGCCCCGCTGATCGTGCTGTAACAGTGGTCCAATGTCCTCTCCTCTCTGGTCGGGCATTTAATATACTGCTTATATTTCGGAAGCTCATGGCTCAGATTGGCTTTGTTAAAGTCCCCAAGAGCAATGATGAGAGAGTCCGGGAATGTCCGCTCCGTGTGGAGAATCTGCTCCGCGAGTGCGCACTGAGCTGCCTGCGCATCTGCGTCTGGCGGGATGTAAACAGCGGCCAGGATGAATGAAGCAAACTCCCGCGGAGAATAAAACAGTTTGCAGTGGATAAAAAGATATTCCAGAGAGGAAGAGCAGTGCTGAGCAATCACTGTCACATCTGTGCACCAGCCACTATTGATGTAGAAGCAGAGACCTCCACCTTTGGACTTACCGGAGAGAGCGGCCTGCCGGTCCGCGCGCAGCAGATGGAAGCCCTCCAGCTTGAGCGCGTAGTCTGGGATTCAACTAGAGAACAGATGGGTTTGGCTATTGGAGGGGTGCTTTACGGAGCTTCAGATCCTGGAAGAATAAATTCCCTTTCATGTGCCAGCCCAGCGTTTTCCTTCATCACCACGAAGGAAAACAGTCTGTGCGTGTCCGGGTTTACGTGCTTATACTGGGACCTCCAGAGCCTTTTCAACGGCTCTGTGGACCTTCTGGGAAAAGCAGTGTTGTGGAAATGACACACACTTCACTACTGGGGATAGTTACAAAGCTTTCTTCGTTACGCGATACATGTTTTTATTGAACATTTGAAGATAAAACAACACAAACTCTTGTAGAGGATATAGAGTCAGCGATACAAACGACAAGTAGCTAGGAGCTAGTTCACATAGAGCTACTGCAAAAACCCACAGAGCTCAGCAGCCAGCGCAACAAATTCTGGATCCTTGCTCTTAGTTAGTATTAGCAGCACATGCTGGGTCTGCTGTGAAAGGACCTTTATGCTGCGCACTGTGACTCACAGCAATTTCTAACCACTGATATACCAAAACTTTATCCTAGCTTGACTGCCAGTTTTAGGTTTTCATAAAGATGTGAGATTAATCTTGCATCTTCCTGTTTTTATAGACTATCTAGAAGGCTGTCTGGCAAGGACTTCTCTTTATTATCATCTTTAGATGGTCCATCAGTGTATTTCAACTGTTGTACAGCTTTTTGATTACAGAGAAGGAGAAGGCTGTGGGAAAGGTGAAGATGCTAGGTAGAAAGCTACCTACACCTAGCAAGAAAAGTTGACTTTAACAGGAAATGAAATGTCAGTGAACAAACTTCTCAGCCTTTTGTGACAGTTAACTGTTGTGAAACATATGAAAATGAAGGGTTAGTTCAATAAAGGTATTGTCTTAAGGATGCATTTGCATTGTTTGATTTAAATATTTATCACTCAAACATGGTGATGGCATTGTTGCATGAGTAAAAATACAAACACACCCAAACTTTGGACATAATTTCATCCTGTTTTAGAGCCCTATTATCATGAAATATTTATCTAAGGCATTTTAAAACTTTTTGGGACCCACAGACACTCTGAAAAAGTAGCTGATTTGATTTAAAGAAATGACTTATTTTATATTTAACTCAACTTCAGCTTGTTCTTTACTTCAGCAAAGCTCACCAGCACCACAGTGAACCTCGTTCTTCTGGGATTGGCCGGGACTGGAAAGAGTGCAAGTGGAAACACCATCCTTCGAAAGAAGCACTTTGTTTCTAAACCCAGTTCAAATCCAGTCACCACAGAGTGTCAGGCGGAAGAAACTGAGATAAATGATTTACATGTGTGTGTGATTGATACTCCAGACATGTTTGATGATGACACTGAACCATCAGTTCGGGACAAACATGTAAAAAGGTGCAAAGAGCTCTGTGGGTCAGAACTCTGTGTGTTTGTACTTGTGATGCATGTGAGTAGATTTACTGATGGTGAGAGAGACATACTGAAAAAGTTAGAAAACACTTTTGGGACCAAAGTGAAAGAACAAACTGTCATCCTGTTCACCCGAGGAGACGACCTGGAGGAGGCAGAAATGAGCCTGGAGGATTTTCTTCATTCCTGCCAACCTGGTCTGAAGGAAATCATTGAAAAGTGCAACAACAGGTGTGTTCTTTTTGAGAACCGCAGCTCAAGTTCAGACCAGGTGGAAAAGCTAATGAACACAGTGAGCGTGGTGTTAAAGAACACAGCAAAGATACAATAAATAAGAGGCTTGGATATTTTTTGAGTAAAATAGTATGGATCTTTATAAAAGTGTGTCTGTGTGTGAGATTCGTTAGTTATTAGTATTAACTTCGAATTTGTAATGTGTGTGTAATTGATGCAAAATTTTTACTGTACTGAATTTTAATTGGTGTGAAAGATTTACAATAAAACAAAGTTCAGTGTGCCTTATTTCTCTTTGGTGTTTGGACCTTGCCACAATGATTCTGTCCTGTTGGATCAGTGAATTTCTTCATCAGTTTGTCTGGTTTGTTGTTTTTTTGTTTAGTTGTTTTGGGGCAGGGCACACAGCATAGTTACTGCTTTTGGAAGTAACTAAATAGGGAATATGGTAACATGTTGAAACCAGGCTGCGAGGTGTCCTTGATGATGTTTGCTGCTCTGCTGAGGCAGTGGAAGAAATACATGTCCATCAAGCAAGGTGAGAGGGCAGCCAATGATCTTTTGTGCTGTGATGACTACACTGAAGCCTCGCTCTATCCACCTTTGTGCAGCTGCCGTACCATACTGTGATGCAGTAGGTTAGCAGGCTCTCAATGGATGAGTGGTAGAAGGTCAGCAGCAGGTTGGAGTTCAGCTTGTACTTCCTGAGGACCCTCAGGAAGTGCAGTCGCTGTTGGGCCTTCTTGACAACCACTCAGATGTTGTCTGTCGAGGAGATGTCAGCAGAGATGAGGACACCAAGGAACCGGAAGGTGTGGACCCTCTCCACACACTCCCTGTTGATGTAAAGGCGGGCTAGGTCAGTGCTGTGTCTCCTGAAGTCGACAATGACCTCTTTGGTATTTTGGCACCAGGCTGCCAACTTCAGGTCTTCCTCTGTAGTCTGCCCTGTCTCTCTTTGAGATGAGTCCAACTACCGTGGTGTCATCAGCAAACTTGATGATGAGATTGTTGTTGTAGGTCGAACTGCAGTCGTGGGTGTAGAGAGAATACAGGAGGGGGCTCACCACACAGCCCTTTGGGGAGCATGGCTCAGTGTGAGAGTGGAGGAGAGATGAGGGTCGAGTCGTACAGTATGGGGCCGGTTTGTGAGAAAGTCCTTTATCCAGGAACGTGTGAGAGGGCAGAGGCCAAGACTCACCAGTTTGGTGATGAGGATGTCCGAGATGATTGTATTAAAGGCTGAGCTGTAGTCCATGAAGAGCATTTGGACGTAGCTCTGTCACTGCTCTAGGTGACTCAACACAGAGTGGAGGGCTATGGTGATGACATCTTCTGTGGATCTGTTTGCGCGGTATGCAAACTGGTGGGGATCAAATTCTGGGCGGCGGTAATCCTTGAGGTGCTGAAGAACTAGTCTCTCAAAGCATTTTATGATTACCGGCGTGAGGGCCACAGGGCGGTAGAGGCCAGCGATGATCTTTTGTGCTGTCTTGACTACACTCTGAAGCCTCGCTCTATCCGCCTTAGTGCAGCTGAATGGGAGCCGTAAGCCACTGCAACAGCGTGCGCCGTCATCTTGCAGTACAGGGTGGTAATCATTCAGGCTGATAATGGTAAATGGTAAATGGCCTGTATTTGTATAGCGCTTTACTAGTCCCTAAGGACCCCAAAGCGCTTTACACATCCAGTCATCCACCCATTCACACACACATTCACACACTTTGGCACTGGGATGATTGTGGCTGGTTTTAGACAGGATGGTATGACTGCCTGATCCAGTGATAGGTTGAAGATTCTGGTGAAGATGAGGGTGAGCTGGTGGGGACATGCTCTTAGCACCTTGCCAGGTACTGGCTTTCCTGGGGTTCACTGCTAGGAACACACGTCTGACATCGTGCTAATGGGAGCCGTAAGCCACTGCAACAGTGTGTGCCACTATCTTGCAACATGTCATATAAATCATGTAGTGCACCTTGATACAGCTGTTGCAATTTGGCACTGTATAAAAACTGAATTGAATACATGTGCATCTAAATACTTTGTTATTAATATACTAACATTTCCTAAATTATAGTTTGAACCATTAACATCTTCTAAACACAAACATGGTTTGTAATTAAGACAGCACTTTATTTACAGACGGTGAATCCATCATTTATAAAGTTTGAAAATGTAGTCAGTAAACATTTAAGCATTATTAACAAGGATAAAACTGTTTAAATTCCTTATTATTAAATAAGTAGTGAGTGAGTGGAGCTTAACTAATCTGTCACAAATCACATATCCCATTTCATTCTGATGATAAGAAAGACCTCTTGATGCATGCTCAATCATCCAGGTAAGTAAATCCCACAAAAGTTAATTCTCTTCATCCAGGATCAATGGGCTGGGAGGTCCCAGCCCATTGATCCCTCAGTGGGCTGGTTTCAGTCATTATGCCAATGTACTGTTTATAAGATTGAGGAAACCTGCAGTCAGCCTAGACTGAAGAAGTCACTTGGATGAGTGACGAAACATTTCTCCCACTGAAAACACTACAGCCAGGTGAACAGAATCAACTTTTGGGGATAAGAAAGACCAGTGAAAATTTCAGGCTTTTATCTGTAATAGATTTGAGATATCCATGTTCCAACATTCACTCATATTTCAATCTGCAAACAAATGGCCTGAAAGGCGATTGACAAACCATTTACAAAAAAAAAAAAAAAAAAAAAAAAAAAAAAAAATGTAATGAGAAGCATTTGATCAACGGAATTAAAATTTCACAGCATCTATTTATGTATGTTCAAACACTGGATCATAACATTCTCAAGCAATTCAGAAATAGTTGAGCAAACAATGTTCTAAAAATGTACTGATTTAAGATGGGCTGATCCACTAACCTCATGCAGACCAGTCTGGGATAACCAAACCTTAAAATTACCGTTCACTTAAAACAACAATACATTAAGATGCAGATATATACTAAATAATGAACAGAGCAATAAAATAACACTTCTTTGGACAGTTACATCACAAATTCAGTTTCAGTCTAATTTCCTGAGTATCATGGATAAATAAATTTTTTTAAAAAAAACAGCTGTAAGTTGCAGATTGAAATACTTTGTAAAATGAAGAAAATATGCTGTGATTAAGCCCTTGGTATTGATAAACGCGTAATCAGTGACTTTTGTTGCCAAAAGAAATTAGACATTAATGGCTGTATGTGTCACGGTTTGTGGAGGCAGACCGTGCGGTGGTGCGTGTGGTGGACCCAGGTGCGAACACACGAGAGTAGACTGGAGTAAACTTAACTGAAAGCGAGCCTTTATTGTGGCTGGTGACAAGGAGTGCAGACAAGGCAGAAACGCAGTGACAAACTAAACTATGACTAAACTAAACTGGGAAAGAAAAACTATGAAGACACAGGAAACCATAACTATGACTACTAAGACTGGCTGTGACAACATGGAGGGTGGGAACACAAACAACGTGACACAGACTACATGAAACACAGAGACTAAATACACATGAGGGATGATCAAGGGAAGTGGCCACACATGGGAGCACAGCTGACACACATGAACCTAACGACAGGAGAGGTGAAACTAAATACACTGACATTGAATACAGACTTTCAAAGTAAAACAGGAAACATGGAGATTAGACATGACATGAACTAAACATAACCACGCAGACATGACGCATGAACCAGGGAGACTTAGTACAGGGGGAGATGACATAAACAACTAAGGCTAAACAGCAATCTAGAAATTAACTAGGTGAGCTAAACTAGCGCACAAATGAATACAAAAGATACATATAAGAACTCAAACACTGCGTCACAGACCCAGCCCATGACAGTATGTTGAGTTATTTAGAGGTGACAGCAAATTTACAGTGTTATACAACCTGTACACTGCTTTACATCAAAGTGTCATATTTTCAGTGTTGTTCCATGAAAAGATACAATAAAATATTTACAAAAATAGACAAAGTGCACCTTTGTGAGATACTGTATGCATGCGTTCTATTGATAGACGGGTAGATAGAGTTGATACTAAAGCTTTCTGTTCTGGTGGTGTCATGGTCTGGGTGGGTGCCTGCAGGTCTCCAAAAGCGGCTCCTCCTCCTTTAGGCGGAGATCGGTTGCTCCTCCCTGGCTGTCCACCTGTGGGCAATTATTCTGGCAGCATATAAGATCTGCGCACTCAACCGTTCATCGCCTGAGTATCTGATATCCCATGTTAGTCAAGTGGAGTGTGATTGCTCTGTCCAGAACCCGTGTGACGACTTACCTGTTTTTCTTGTCCTCAGAGGTAGCTCCTGGAGTGGAGGTCTCGCCTCCCTCGTCCCCGCTTTCCTGGACCTGGGCCACCTGCTGCTGGTACGACGTTGCCAACTGACCCACCACTCACTTGCCTGCCTCCCCACGTCTTAACCACATCCAGGCCTTCTGTCCTACCTGTTTTAACCTCCCCACTGCCTCTGCTGTTCAGCTGCATCCTAGAGTTGTCTAGGTCAGCGGTCCCCAACCTTTTTTGCGCCACGGACTGGTTTATGCCTGACAATATTTTCACGGACCGGCCTTTAAGGTGTCACGGATAAATACAACAAAATAAAACTAGTACCGGTACCGAAAAAAAGAAAAGTTATTCATAACACACGTGAAAAGACCCAGGAAAACCGAGTAAACGATAAAAACAAACAAAATAACGCTGAAAACCGATAAAAACCCTGAAAACTATACATTTCACACCTGAGCCTCAACTCTCGCGGCCCGGTACCAAACGACTCACGGACCAGTACCGGTCCGAGGCCCGGGGGTTGGGGACCGCTGGTCTAGGTCACTCTTAGTTAACTTAGTTTTTACTGCGCGCCTCTAGTGTGGTGGCAACGTTTTGTTTTTGCTTGTGTTTAATTGTGGGGGGAAATAAACCTTTTGTTCACTTACTGTCTCGCTTCCAGTTTGGTTTCTGCACTTGTGTCCATCTCAGTTACCTCGTACCGCTGGGCCGTGACAGGTAGGCCATGAGATGTAGCCAATTGTGACTTTAACCCTTGTGTGGTGTTCGTATTTTTGTTACTCAGCCAGTGTTCATGGGTCTGGTGGACCCGCTAGAGTTTTGGCTTTCCAAATTAACACTATCAAACAATTTTATGTTAAATTACTCAACAGATGTTTACTTCATCCCAATTACAAGACATATGAACAGCAAACATGGTTAATTTTTTTCCTTTACCTTTGTTAGATCACATTTATGAATTAATGTGCTTCTCGT